GTCTGATCTGGTCTGATTTAATTTGAATTTTTGTTATTTAGTCTGATATGATTTAATTATTTAACTAAACTTTGACCGCATTTTAATACTAATCTATAAAGAAAAACATTATCAAAATGAATCTTATTAGATTCGGCTTATTATGAATTTTTAAATATGTAATTTTCATATTTTTTTAATACGCAATTAACAATATTTTACAATAAGTAAATAATAATTAAAAGTTTTAATATGATCTGATCTAAATATATCTGGTCTGGTCTGATCTGAATTTATTAAGCAATAAGTAATAAGTATCTGAAACAAGTTCCTTAATCAAAATAATTTTTACACGTGGTATCTAACTCTTCTCTAATCCTAGTGCTAAAATAATTTTGAAAAAATCATTCATTCATTTATATGCCTCCTAAAACTATGTGCCTAAAGACTATATTGCAAGTAAAAGAAAATGGAGGAAGTATATACCTTATCTGATCTATCCTCAAATGAAAAATTCTGCTCATAGTCAAACTCATTAAACACATGTAACTCTTAATTCAAATATGAGGAGTATAATTTTCTTATAAACATCTTTACTAACATTAAAAAGTTCTAATAAGAAAGTAAGAGTACTTCGTATCAGATTAATTAACACAAAGTTTCATATGTGGTTGACCACACCGTGTGGTTAGAATTACTTATTCAGAAGTTACTCGATCGATCAAAGGTTACTTGGTCATAAGTTACTCAATTAATCAGGGATTAATGTACTCATAGCAATATAATCTCCATGACGGATTTAACTCATATAAGTCATACTACATATAAGATATCATTATATGAGTATTGATCGAGTACAAACTACAAAGGTTCATAAACTGAAATTCTTTTGTATGAGTACGAACCAAGTAATGTTGAGTGGAGCAATCTCTTTAGAAACAACATTAAATAACGAAAGCATAAAAAGTTGCACATGTTAGTTAGCTAGGAAGAATGTAGGAATTAGGAAAGGAGAGTCAAACAGAATGGAAGACCATCCCACAATTAAGAATCAACAAACTCTTCTAGTGGTCAGACGTTACTGCTTGAATGGTCAACATTTTATCCCAGTCAATGTTGACCAGTAGACACCGTTGACTATATTCTTACAGTACTCCTTATTTTATTACCGTCCATCCTTGTGGTCTTGATTTCTTGAACTCTTGATTCAGAAAGGGAAAACAAAAAAAAAAATTTACCGTGTTGAAATAATAATTTTGACCCACCAAATTAGTATTCTAACTTTTAGTTCTTTTAACTTTATACTTGTACTAGTATTTTCATTTATTTTATAAGATTTAATAAAATAAGCAAAAACCAAATGAATATAATGCATTAATCCGTATAAATTACCCTCTTCTAATAGATATTGTCTCAATTCTTACTTAGTTTAGTTGCACTCAATTCATTAGTCACCTTTACCTTTTCATTAGTTGCACTTAGTTCATTAGTCATCTTTACAACTTTAACTAAACTCCATAATAACATATTAGAATTAAAATACTTCGTATACAATAATTAATCAGGAATAATATAATAAATTTATATTTGCAAAATATAGACTTAGACAAACCTAGTCCTGTTTTTCTGAAGTTTAAATCACATAAACTTGTTAAAATAATTTGTATATATAGTCAAAAGCCAATGTGCGTAAACTAATATAAAATGAAAGAAATAAGATTTTGTTAACAAGTGCTTTTAACTTTTTTTAATACTATTAATGCTGTAGTGGATTAATCTAATAATAGTCGTAGTTTTTGTTCTATGAGGCAATTATATATATATATATATATATATATATATATATATATATATATATATATATATATATATATATATATATATATATATATATATATATATATATTGCTTGTTATTGAGACTTTTGAGAGGAGTCAGGACCGGGTCTGGTCATTGCCGCCAGTCTATAGGATATCGCATTTAAGTTTTAGATTTTTTTATTCACTCTAATTGTTTGATTTATCAAATTATGAATTAATATGTAAATTAATCAGTGATAGATTAAACTTTATAAACAGTTCATAGTTTTTCTAAGTAGTACTCCCTTCACTTTTTAATGAGTGCTCCATTTTTCTTGGGCATGCATATATGCTGATATAAATCTTTAACTAATAATATCTTTAATAATTTTCATTGAGACGATTTTAACAAGTATCCACAAGACTATATTTTTTGTTATGTTTAAATCATAAACATTAGTCAAAGTCGAAAAGTAAATAGTGCATAAGGTGCTAATAAAGCGAAAGGGTACAATTTTAAAAATGACGATAAAATACTTGTATGAGGCTTAATATTTACACCGTAATTCGCATTTGTTACGTTGTACAAATGGAGCAGGTTTCATGATAATAAAAATTAGGCCAAATTAGAAAATAACACCTGCTAAAGACCCCGATTTTGGTTTTAACACCTGTTAAAAAAAAAAAGTTTTATTCTAACACCTCCAAAAATCCCAAAATTTTGGTTTCACCACCCACGAACGGGATTTTGGATGGAAACCGTTAGTGGGGGCCACCATGTACACGTGTCAGTTGTTAATTGGTTTAAACAAAATTAAAAAAAAAAAAAAACCTAACCCCCTAACCCAGCCAGCCACCGCACCGGCACCACTTGTGGCCAGCCACAAATGGTGGCCTTCTCCCCTACCTACCCCAGAACCAACCACCAACCACCAGTCATCGATTTTCGCCGCCGAACCACCTCTAACACCGAAAATCGGCTCCCCCACCCTTAACCCACCTCGAAAACCGCCATCATCCCTCACAAAGCCGCCAAAGTACCGTTCCCCTCCCCAACGCAACCCCCTTAAATGGACCTCCTCCCTTCCCGCACCGCCGAAACCGGCACCCCCTCCCTTCCTACACCACCGAAACCGCCCCCCCCCCCCCCCCCCTCCTTTCCCTCAACCCCGAAACCGACCTCTTCCCTTCCCACCTTCAAAAACGGTCCCAAGCTCCCGACGAATAAGGTTTCTGGGCTAGGTTGGGGTGGGGGCAGCAAGGGAGGTGTCGGAAAATGGTGATTGGCGCCGGAAATTGGGAATCAGGGTAGGAAATAGGGAAGGGGAAGGGAAGAGGCAGCTGGCTGGGTTAGGGGGTTAGGTTTTTTTTTTAATTTTTTTTTTAAGCCAATAAACAACTGACAAGTGTACCTGACGGGCCTAACTAACGGTTTTCATCCAAAAATCCGTTAGTGGGTGGTGAAATTTTGGGATTTTTGGAGGTGTTATAATAAAACTTTTTTTAACAGGTGTTAAAAACAAAATCGGAATTTTTAACAGGTATTATTTTCTAATTTGGCCTAAAAATTAAAAAAAAATTATCGCTCTTCAAGTACTCCGTAGTTTCTTTTTATATTACTTCCTTTCAACATTTATTATGCAAATTAGCAATCTAAAAATTAGCAATCGGGTCAATAGACAATCAAAACAAGGTATGCTTTTCTCAAACTGAATGGAATTGCAACAAAAAGTAATTTGGGAAGAAGGGGCTGGACATTGATGTACACTGTGACCTATGCGATTTACTGGAGGAGGATTTACATCATTTGTTCAAATTTTATTGCACATCTACTCAAGAAGTCAAGATGTCTTGAAGGATGAAATATTACAAATCCACTCGCAAGCTAACGCAGATTAATTTTTTAATGATTAGATTATGTACTATATTCGGCAATTTTCAAGCGAAGATGGTCTTAGCTAGTGATCATATATAGGTCTACCTTTTTTATTGCAACCTTGTGGGGGTTGTGGTTGGCACGGAACAAATAGGGTCTTTGGTCACCGGGAACTATACATTTTATGACACATGCCATTATTTCTTAAGGCATCCGATAATACAAAGGTCGGAGGACAATTTGAGGTCCTTGAACCCGCATGGGTTGCTGAGTGGCCTCTAGGGTTTATGCGTGCTATATACAAGATTCCGATTCTCTGCATACACTTCCTAAATTAAATGTTATATTGGTGGATGGTTCTTGGAATAAACACATGCACAGATTAGGAATGTGGTGGTGGTCGGAGAATATATATATGACCTAGGGGGACCTGGGAATTGTGGGAGGAGCTTCATTTGGGTTGTTTGAGTCAGCACTGCATGTTGAGATGATCAATGCTTATCTGAAGGTTTTCGATGGGCAATTAGGAGGCCCTGAAGGTGGTTACCATTTACACAGATTCAATCTCAATGGTTCAAGCTTTCAGGGAGTCAAAGGTTACAAAATATTTATCTCAGGTGGACAGTAGATCATATATGGCGGCTTAGCTGCACGTTTGACTGGTGCAGTGTTCACAAGAAAACACATGTCATGAAGGTTCGACAGTAACTTAATTATTTCGTGGATCATGCCATTAGGTTTTGTCAACTTAAATGTAACAAAAAAAAAAAAGTAGATGATTGTAGTTACATTTTTAATCAAAGAGATAGAGACATCTGTTAATATTAATAATAAAATGATTTGTCAATAAATCTAAATTATTGTTTTGAAAATGACATTTGAGAAGAATGGAATCAGTAGATGTAACAAAAAAGATATTCAATTTGGGTTATAAGTGATAAATAGTGTATTAAGCCTGCATAATGAGATATTTTTTTAATTTGTAAGAATACTTTGCAAAGTTATCGTATTAAGAAAAGAGAATCAACGTTTACCACAACATAACAAAAAAGCCAGGTTCACCTCAGTTACCATAAAGCACCAAAAAGCTCATTCTAATGTACTAATTGTCATGTTTACCACTAATTATTGACTGATGGTAACTTAAACGAAATTTCTCACCAATAATTTAAAAAAACACTTAATTAATTTCCCAAGATAATTTGGGTTGAATTTTCTTATATTCACACGGTCACAATCCACGTGGACCCAGTTTCTGGAACCCACGTGTAGGGCCCATGACGTGGACTGTTGTCTTAAAAAAAACGCTTACCTTTCTTTCCTCTATATTTATATATAAACCCACGATCTAGCTATCGTCATTATCCTTCTCTCTTTCTCTCTCTAACAAAAATAATATCAATTTTTCTCTCTCCTCTGAAAATCAAACAAATTTTTAGGGTAAAATTCAGGTAAATTTGTTCAATTGTTTTGAACAAAATCATGGAAGAAAATCAGAATCTAATTGAAAATGAAGAATTATCGGAAATTTCTGATAAATTGGACAAAACCTTAACCCTAGAATCGTCATCAACGCGTCAATCTGATGACGATGAAGAAGAGGAAGAAGATGAAAATGGCGACGAAAATGAGGAATTTGAGTTTTGTTTTCTTGGAGGTTTAAAATCGCCGGTTTCAGCGGAAGAAGTGTTCGAAGACGGTCAGATTCGGGTAATTTCACCGTTTCCCGGCGAATATTCCGGCGAAGGAGAGACGTCATCGTCGTCGACGTACGGCCGGACGGTGAAGAATGTGTTCGTGGTATCAAACTCGCCGGAAAATGATGATGTGGCGGAAGAAGGATCGTACTGCGTGTGGAAAGCGCCGTCGCCGGAGATGAGTCAGAAGAGCAATTCGACGGGGTTCTCGAAGCTTCGGAAGATGAGAGATTTGCTAGCAAGGAGTAATAGTGACGGAAAAGACGCATTCGTGTTCCTAAACGGAAAAACAGACGCTTCGGGTTCAGGCGAAGCGAAAAGGAAGGAGAAGGAGAAGAAGAAGAAGGAGTTGAAGATTGAAGTGGCGGATAAAAAGGGTGGTGGTGAAACGACGGCGTTTGGAGGAGAGAGAAAAGAAGGAAAGAAGAAGAAGGAGAAGTCGGCGTATGAAGCGTTGTATTTGGGTGGAGGGAAAGACAAAAAGAAAGGCGGTGGGAAATCGTATTTGCCATATAGACAAGATTTGGTCGGCTTTTTTACGAATGGTAGTGTTTTGAGTAGAAATGTTCATCCATATTAATACTTTATAATATCATTAATTAGTTTTTTAACAATATAATTTGTTTATTTTGTTTTGTAAATTGAAGAAAAAAAAAATGTGAGTTGGGAGTTGATAATTGTATGACTAATGGCTTGCATTTTTGTTGATATTATTGTGTTAGGGAAGATGTAATGCTAAATGCCTTAATTTGTATTTTTCATTTTTTTTTTCTTTTTTGAGGGGTGGTGGTTTAGTGATTCATTTTGATATCTTGAGATTTATATCCATGTACGAGTAATAATATCATGTGATTATGGGCAAGTATACTTAAATAAACTATAAGGCCCTTTTTTATCTCCTCAATTTGCATGCATTCTAATAAAGTAAATTGTTTGGGAATTATATGACCAATGATATGAATTTTTGGTCTTTTACAATCATTAACTCAAACATTATTACGAGAAGAAAATACACTAAAGTCACTAATACATTTAACTAACAAAAATTTGTCTTACTTTATACGCATAATAACAATTTAACAACTACTTGTATAGTTGTACGAGAGTGTATGACAAAGATTTCATACCTCCAGGTTGTTGGACATTAAAAAGGAAGACTTGTGATGTTAATTTTTTTTGTCATATTATTAAGTTGGTGTCAATAATTATATATAGACAACTTAATGTTTATGTCACGAGACTTTTGCCTTTTATTTTCACATAAAAGATTTAGTATCATAATATATTCTCATTTATTCACGCTACATCATTAGTTGACGGAGTGAAACGTATAGTGTGACTTACAATAATGTACAATTGATGTTAATGACTGATCAAACCAAGATTTTCAACAAAACAATAATGGTTAGGGTTGAGATGAGGTATCTATTACTCGTAGATGTTGAGGCTTGATTGATAATAATGGTTTGATAACCGATAGGATTATTCATTATGTTAATGACAATGACTCGCACTAGTCTATCAATTGTGCTTGCAACATGTTATGTAAAAGACGAGTTGTTAATTCATTTATGCAATAGGAAGAACTTGCGGCAGATGATGGTGCATAGACGCACAGTACATTAGATGTGTGTGTAGTTAGTAGTTACATCTTACATCATAGTCAAGGACTCAAGGTAAGTGTTACTTTGTTGGTAAGGTAACGCCTTTGCAATTAAGGAGTTAGGAAACGAACATCTTCTTGCTAGGTGTACCGTGTACATCATTGTCAAGGTAAGAGCTACATATTTTGTTGGTAAGATATAGTCATCGCAATTACTCGTAAAAAGGGATTAGGAAACCTCTATTGCAAATTTGCAAGGGGTGGGGCTTGAACCTTCGAACTTGAAGAAGCACCCTCAAGCTTGTATGCATATATTATTAAATTTGGAAAGAATGTGAAAAAGGCCTAGGCAATCCAAATAAGGCTAGAGTAGGTTCCATAATATGGAGTAAAATCAATTGGTGATAGTAAAAGTAACTCCTCTACTTTATAAAGACACATCCTCAATTTATAGTTTGCAAACATCTTATCATAATTTTGCTACTATGAAAATGAAGATATCTAATATAAGAAAACATATAAAAAGATCTGTTTTGGTCAGGTCTAATCTGTAATTGTTCGATATTATGTTATCATATTTGAACAAGAATAAGTAATACAAGTACTTAAACTAAGTTTAAATAACTTTTATAAAAGTCAAAACTGTTTTAAATATTTTATTCGCTTTTTAGTTGACACGTTTTGACTTTTGACATTATTCATACTATCTACACTGGCATAGATTTGTGATTTTTAATTATGAAAAATGAAGTTATGAGATCTTGTTGAATATATTATTAAAATATCAAAAAAAAATTAAAAAATTATATTAAACTTGTCAATTAAAAAAAAAAAAAAAAAGAGAGAGAGAGAGAGAGTACATTCATTCTTACTAGGGATCAACTGGTCTGTAGAGTAATCAAGAATGATTGGTACTTCATATTTACAAGTTAAAAAACTCATCTATATTCATTTGTGTTTGTGCCTCTCTAATCTCCATGCAAATCACCTATCATAAAATGATCATAGGGATACATGCGCTCACTTTAAGCGGGGATCTAAATGCTTCACATAATCACATATTAACATGATTATTGTTCCTATCCCAAACCCAAAGATAACAAAGAGGTTACTTTCAAATTTGCCATTATTATCCTCTAATAATTGTATTACGAGTACATAATCGTATTTTTTTTTTTTTTTTTTTTGAAAGAGTACATAATCGTATTTTTAAAATAACATAAAAGTTCTTAATAATTAAATATAATCACAAATTAGGCAATTTCTCTTTTAGAACAGTATGGTCCTACAGAGAGAGTACACCATATGGTACCAAAAAAATACAGAGCAGAGTGACAGTTCACAGGCAGCTAGCTTATGCAACTAGTGCTAACTATTCTTGACCATTTAAAAAAAGATGTAATATCAACATTTTGCTCAGAATTGGATATTTTATGTTCCTTTTATTAATTAGTACAACTATAGAAAACGAATAATGCAAATTTGCAATAATATCATATATCTACTAGAAACTTGAATTTCAATTACACGCTTGGTGTATCTATCGTACGTAAACCCAAGGGAGGCCAAGACTTGTTTATTGCATCTTTGCTCATTTTAATAGGTCGCTCCAAATGAACAAAAAAAAAAATGAGCATAAATGTATCATTATGATATACACGAGTCTATAGTGAATATTATGATGTGTACACATTATGTTAACTTTCCTCACCCAAGTCGTGGTAGAGATATAATAAAAAAATTATACGCTCCAGTTTTTTCATATAATAACACTGATCGATACTACATTTTACTGAACAATTCAGTTTTTTTTTTTCAACTAGTTAAAACTAATTTTTGTAAGTTGAAGAGAGCAAGGCGACAGTTGGTCAAACGAAATATATTGTAATTCATCTCAACAGTGTCTTATTCAAATGGGAAAAACAATACATCTGTTTTATCCCCTATTGATCTACGCACAACTGGATGCATTTACTGGAGATCTGAGATTATCTGTATTACTATTGACTATATATACCTTATCTTCCACAAATGTCAGTACAAACTTGAACTGATGCAAGCTAAACTAAGCTCAACATGCTAGATTCTCAAGCATACCTATTTTGGCAAGTAGAAGCCAAGCAAGGTTCTGTAATATCAACGCAAGTCGAAAATTTCAAATCTCAAGTTTGGGTTGATATAAACATGTGAGCATTGTTCATACAATGGCCTCCCGTCACTGGAATCCTGGTGAGGGTGGAACCCTTTCTCTTCGCATTCCTTGAGAACGTTCATACCGCTAGGATCTGTCAGCCGGAATATACCGTAGTTCCTGTAGGACATCAATAATCAGAGTTACAGCTCAGTAAATTATTCCTGCATCCACCTAGTAGTACAAGTACATAAAATAAAGAAAAGTAACTTGTCATTCAGCTCAATAATTTGTCTTCCCTTGTTTTTTACTTTTACTGTTATGCATCCTTTTACATCCTGGTGTATTCGTGCAATATGAGACATTAGCGCTAAGTACAGACCTAATATGAGTTTGTATGCACTTACGGAAATATTTACCAGGAAAAACAACGATGAATAAATAAAAGACAAGGGAGAACAAATCATTGTATCTTTCAAAGAGTCGAATGATATGTCATTCTCAATTAAGCTATGCTTGTCGTCGTATACTATATTCAATTTTCTTAAATATCAACATGGAACCCTTTCTCTTCGCATTCCTTGAGAAACATATACAGAGTAACTAGTTATTCTTTTCCAAATGCTAGAAGAACAAAAGCATACATGGGCATTTATCTGTTGCACATATGACATATCAAGGCAATAAATGCTAGTAACTTAAAATGACATATTAGACTGCAGAGTGCAGACCTTGTCTTATCAGTGGGAGCCACAACAATAGCGATAGCCTCTGGCACCATCACCTGCATAACAACAGGAAAGCGGATGAGGTAATATGGAGAATCAACATCAAAATTTACCCCAATACCTCTAAAGATCCTTCCGACTTTAGAATAACAAATTGGTTATGAACAATACACAATGAATGACATTATTTCACCAAAAAAAAAAACTAAGAATCATACGTATCTTAATAGGCCATTCTAAGTTAATCGATTATAGTTCAAACCCAAATAACAGTTAACCTTTGACTCCAAATGAAGAAATGGTAGATAGTCCCATTTAAAATAGATAAAGATTTCAAAGTGTGTAGTAAGTTCAATCAGGTTTTGAATTACAAGACAACAGCTGTACTGCTGTACCGCCCGTACACCCGTACCAGCACATCATGAAAGGGATAGAAAGCATATGCTTTGGGATAGAACTTTTTTTGCACAAGACTTTAGTATATATAAGGGAATAAATTAAATTGGGTTTCAAATATATAAAGGGAACTACCTCAGCTGATTACCTGATATGGATACTGCGTATGTAGATCTATCGATGACATAAAACAGCTTTGCGAAGGATGTGTCTGGTAAGTAAAAAAAAGCAATCTATTCAGAGATTCTGTGTTTCTATGTATAAACAAAACTTCACACTTAAATGCACAAATACTCCAAAAAGACAAGTGTATTAATTCAAACATGGTTAAGCAAAGATTACAGAAAAAAAATTCTCCGTTTACAAAGAACGACAATATAGAGGTTATTTAAGCAGAAGCAAGAAAGGAGACATACATGGATCCATCCTACAGGCAAAAGGGAGCGATCATTTTGTATGTTAAAGATGTCCTCTTCATGCAATGCCTGACACTACAATACCAACAATAAGACCAATGCAAGCTACTAAGATAAGATATCATATTGAAGATGCAGAATAGCAACATGAAGGTATTAACAGAGACTCACTGAACTGGAAGTTGACTCCTGCTTTGGTATTATTAACGTGGTAGCATAGAATGTCTCGTTTGTCTACATGGCCGAATCAGAAAACATGAGTTAGATCAAGAATGAGACTGCCGCCATCAGCCAACCACTGTAAAAAAAACTAAACTTAGGCAACTAGGACAGGCAACAGTAATAAACCATAAAAAAAAAAAAAAAAAAAAATAAAATAAAATAAAATAAACCCGCAGCTAATAGCAATAAATTTGTTATTAATTTTGTATGATAAATTCCATTCCAACTAAAAGAGGTGATATTGAGTGGTATTGAAGATTTATAAGGAAAAACAAGTACTTGAGTCATTGGCATAAGACTATCCTTACAGGTTGCATACCAGTATTAAAGATTACCATTAGTCTCCATATGCGCCATTATAAATCCCAAACAGGGCAGAAGAAAGTTCAATAATTTCAACTGA